CTCATGTATCCTAGTCTTAGAGATCACTACATCCTCTTCTAAGTATTCACATATCAAACCTTTGATCGTTTGTTTTAAAGTGTTATCTGAAATTAACATTAACCTTACCAGAATGTTAGTAGAAATTACACTCTTTTTTTTTTTGAAAATAGTCTCCTGTCTTGTGGCACTGGCAATGATTCAGAGATCTCATTCACAGATTCTTTTAAATATCTTGGAACATAATTGTTTGGTCTGGGAGAGATGTGAACTTATAAAGTAGCTAGGTCTCCTTTTTTTTAATTTACTTTTTTAAAAGACTATTTTTTTAGAGCAGTTTTAGGTTCACGGCAAAATTAAGAGGAAGGTACAGAGGTTTCCCATTTACACCCTTCCCCAACACATGTGTACCTTCCCCCATTATCAACGTCCACCACCACGGTGGTGCATTTGTTACAATTGATGAACTTATATTGACACGTCATTATCACCCAAAGTCCATAATTTACCATAAGGTTCACTTTTGGTGTTCTGTATCCTGTGGGTTAGGACAAATATATATTGATACATATCTACCATTATAGTATCATATAGAGTAATTTCACTGTCCTAAAGATCCTGAGTGCTTTGCCTATTCATCCTCCATCCCCCTTAACTCCTAGCAACCATTGATATTTTTACTGTCTCCATAGTTTTGCCTTTTCCAGAACTTCATATAATTGGAATCTTGCAGTATATAGCCTTTTCAGATTGGCTTCTTTTACTTGGTAAGACATTTTCTCCATGTCTTTTCATAGCTTGACAGCTCATTTCTTTTAGCACTGAATAATATTTCATGGTCTTGTACCATAGTTTATCCATTCACCTACTGAAGGACATCTTGGTTGCTTCCAAGTGTTGGCACTTCAGAATAAAGCTGCAATAAACATCCATGTGCAGGTTTTTGTGTGGACATAAGTTTTCAATTCATTTGGGTAAATACCAAGGAAGGCGATTGCAGGATTGTATGGTAAGAGTATGTTTAGTTTTATAAGAAGCTAACAAAGTGTCTTCCAAAGTGGCTGTACAATTTTGCATTCCCACGGCCATGAATGAAAGTTCCTTTTGCCCTACATTCTGTCCAGCATTTGGTGTTCTCAGTATTCTGGATTTTGACCATTCTAATAGGTGTGTGGTAGTATGTCGTTGTTTTAATATGCAGTTCCCTCATGACACATGATCTTGAACATCTTTTCATCTGCTTACTTACCATCTGTATCTCCTCTGGTGAGGTATCTGTCTTTAATCCATTTTTTAATCAGATTGTTACATTTCTTGTTTAATTTTAAAAGTTGTTTATTTTGAATAAGAGTTCTTTATCAGTTGTGTTTTTTTGCAGATATTTTCTCCCAGTGTGTGGCTTGTCTTCTCATTCTCTTGACATTGTTTTTCCAAAAGTAGAAGTTTTTTGTTTTGTTTTGTTTTGTTTTATAGAGACATCCAACTTATCATTCTTTCTTGTGTGGATTGTACCTTTGGTGTCTTATCTAAAAAAAAATCATTGCCATACCCAAGGTCATCTAGAATTTACTCCTGTGTTATCTTCTAAGTGTTTTATGGTTTTGCATTTTACATTTAGGTTTGTGATCCATTTTGAGTTAATTTTTGTGAAGGATATAAGTAAGGTCTGTGTCTAGATTCATTTTTTACTTTACATTCCGGCACCATTTATTGAAAAGACTATCTTTTCTCCATCATATTACCTTTCCTGCTTTGTTAAAGATCAGTTGACTGTATTTATGTGGGTCTGTTCCTAGACTCTATTCTGTTCCATTGGTCTATTTGTCTGTGCTTTCACCAGTGCCACACCGTCTTGGTTACTACAGCTTTATAATAATGCTTGAATTTGGGTAGTGTCAGTTCAACTTTATTCTTCTTTTTCAATATTGAGTTGGCTATTCTGGGTCTTTTGCCTCCCCATAAAAACTTTAAAATCAGTTTGCAACATCCACAAAATAACTTGCTGGAATTTTGATTGGGATTGCATTGAATCTGTAGTGCAAGTCAGGAAGAACTGACATCTTGATAATATTGAGTCATATTATCCATGAACATGGAATATCTCTTTATTTAGCTAGTTCTTTGATTTCTTTTATTAGAGTTTTATAGTTTTCCTCATATAGATCTCGTACCTAATTTTGTTAGATTTATATCTAAGTATTTCAATTTTTAGGTGTTAATGTAAATGGTTATATGTTTTAAATTTCAAATGCCACTTGTTCATTGCTGGTTTATAGAAAATTGATTGACTTTTGTGTATTAACCTTGTATCTTGCAAACTTTCTATAATTGCCTATTAGTTCCACTGTCTTGGGTTTTTTATTTTTTTTAATTGTTCTGGATTTTCTACCTAGACAGTCATGTCATCTGCCAACAAAGACAGTTTTGTTTCTTCCTTTCCAATCAGTGGGCCTTGTATTTCCCTTTCTCATCTCATTGTTTTAGCTAGGTGTCATTTTTCATTTCCTTCTCTTATTTTCTGTATCATTCACCTTTCCTGTTTGTTGTTTACTTTTCATCCTGAATAACATCTTCTTGTTGAATCAGACAAATGAGAGTTGAGAGGGATATGTTTCACAAAACAGCACTTATAATTAAATTAATTGCATGTACTTAAATGTTTATAGACTTTCAGATGAAGTTAATTTTGAACCAGACTTTTGAAAATTTGAATTGGATGAAAAGAACACGGGAGAGGAGAAAGTTTATAGGCAAAATCTGGAAAATGTGAAAATATTTATATAGAGCTGTAGAAATTACATGAGCTTTATTGGAATGAAAGGTCATTATGGAAAGAATGGGAAATAGTGAAAGTGGGGATCATGAGAGGAGAATGAGACTTAAGTGCTGTATTCATAGCACTTCAAGTTGTGTGGAACTTTGAACTTTACAGAACAATTTTCATGTAACCTTCTGAGATAGGTGGGAGGTATTCTTATTTTATGGATGAAAAAATTAATACTTAGATTAAGAAATGTACCAATTCCATATAATAGTGTATGACCCAGTTAGAACTAAAACTCATTATATTTCCAAGGTCCCTGTTCTTCGCTGATACTGTTACATTTCTGTTGCCTCACCATAGTACCCTGTACTCATAACTCTTACAGTTTGTTATATGTTCCTGTGCATTATCTACTTTGATCCTCAAAAACCTTGTGAGATATATATAGTTCAGGTATTATTATGATCTCACTTACAGATAAGGAAAATGAAGATAAGGTAAAGTTAATGATGTAAAGTAGCTAGGACTACTTTCTTAATCCTGTCACTTATTTGCTATATCTACTTGCTTTCCTGTTGTTCATTTTTCTCTTTTCAGTCTAGATGTTAACTTTTTCCATTAAACTGAGGCTAAAAGAAGTTAAACAAGTTTAAGAGGTCAACACTATAGTAAGTAAAAAGAACAGACCCAGATCTAAACATGTGCCTTCTGGTTGCTGTTTTCTTACCAATATTCTGTTCTGGAATAAAGTACCTACTGGAAGACCAACAAGTTTCTTGAGACTTGTCTGTACCCTGATTGAGAATTATTCTGTTAGATGTGTGCAAGATTAGTTGGAGAGATCAAAAGTGGAGATATCAGCTGGTGATATCAGCTGGTGATATCAGCTATAATGTGGTCATGTTAACAAAATTTGTTAATGGACATAAAATTCAAATGAAACAAGTGTGAAATGATGATGTTCTTAATGAAGATAAAAGTTTTAATATTTGTATATTTGCACTTAAAAATGCATAAGAATGAAGTGCTATACTCTCCCAGTCCTACCAACATTTATATTATTTAATAATGTTCAGAATTTTTAAGTTTATTTGATAATACTTTTAAAATAGGAACCCAATTTTCTGCTTTTTTATTTTTTATTTTTTATTTTTTTGCGGTACGCGGGCCTCTCACTGTTGTGCCCTCTCCCGTTGTGGAGCACAGGCTCCGGATGCACAGGCTCAGCGGCCATGGCCCACGGGCCCAGCCGCTCCGCGGCATGTGGGATCTTCCCAGACCGGGACACGAACCCGTGTACCCTGCATCAGCAGGCAGACTCTCAACCACTGCGCCACCAGGGAAGCCCTCTGCTTTTTAAAATTATCCCCATTACTTGTATTTGAGGTATGAATGAGACAGGAAAGAGTTCATATTGTGTAGATGTCTTATATTCCTTTCATCTATTCTAAGCAACTGCTATGAGCTATTCTGAAGTATCCATGTGTTGATTTCTTATGGCTGCTATAACAAATTACCACAAACTCAGTTGCTTAAAATAACAGAATTTTATTCTCTCACAGTTATGGAGGCCAGAAGTCTGAAATTATTATCACTGGGCTGAAATTAAGGTGTTGGCAGGGCTCTGTGCCCTCTGGAGGTTCTAGGGAAGACTGCATTCCTTGCCTCTTCCAGCTTCTAGTGGCTGCCAATGTTAATTGGTTTGTGGCTGCATCAGTCCAATCTCTGCCTCTGTGGTCAGATTACCTTCTCTTCTGTCTGTGTCAAATCTCCTTCTGCCTTCTTATAAGGTACATGTGATTGCACTTAGGGCCCAACTAGATAACCCAGGATAATCTCCCCATTTCAAAATCCTTAATCATATCTGCACAGTCTTTTTTTTTTTTTTTGCCATAAAAGTACCATACAAAGTTTCCAGGGATTAGGATGCAGATGTCTTTTGGGGGAGCAATTATTCAACCTACCCCAGTCCTTATTGCCTCTCACTTTTTCTTCTTCTTTTCTTTCTAGTCTCTTCTCTTCTGTTTTTAATCTTGTTCATCTTCCAGAGGCACTGAGTGTGCTTAATATCTATAATAAAGGAGTTGAATGATTGTTAACTTCCCTTCTAACGCTAAAAGCCTCTGTCTAGTATTTAGTATTTAAAAAACAAACATGCAGATAAACAACAAATCTCATTTATTTTGTGCTACCTGTAAAAGTAATCATTTGCAAGATTCTTTTGAAATAACTATTCATGCTTTCTGTTTTTCTGTAGATGGACCACACATCCCCGACCTACATGCTTGCTAACTTAACCCACTTACATTCTGAACAACTTCTACAGGGCTTGAATCTTCTTCGTCAACATCACGAACTCTGTGACATCATTCTTCGAGTAGGTGATGTTAAAATCCATGCTCACAAAGTGGTACTTGCCAGCATCAGCCCATATTTCAAAGCTATGTTTACTGGAAACCTTTCTGAAAAAGAGAACAGTGAGGTTGAGTTTCAGTGCATTGATGAAACTGCTCTCCAGGCCATTGTGGAATATGCCTATACAGGGACTGTTTTTATTTCACAGGACACAGTTGAATCTCTCCTTCCAGCAGCAAACCTACTCCAGATAAAACTTGTCCTGAAAGAATGTTGTGCATTTCTTGAAAGCCAACTTGATCCTGGTAATTGTATTGGAATTTCTCGCTTTGCAGAGACATATGGTTGTCATGACCTTTATTTGGCAGCCACTAAATACATATGCCAGAATTTTGAAGCAGTTTGCCAGACTGAAGAGTTTTTTGAGCTTACGCATGCTGATTTGGATGAAATTGTTTCCAATGACTGTTTGAATGTAGCTACTGAAGAGACTGTTTTTTATGCACTTGAGTCTTGGATCAAGTACGACGTCCAAGAACGCCAGAAATACTTAGCACAGCTACTTAACAGTGTACGATTACCATTGCTGAGTGTTAAGTTTCTCACTAGATTATATGAAGCAAATCATCTTATTCGTGATGATCGCACTTGTAAACATCTTTTGAATGAAGCTCTGAAGTACCACTTTATGCCTGAACACAGACTCTCTCATCAGACAGTCTTGATGACACGACCTCGCTGTGCTCCCAAAGTACTTTGTGCAGTAGGAGGAAAATCTGGACTGTTTGCCTGTTTGGATAGGTAAATAGAAGGCTTTTAAAGGATTGATGCTAATAGATTTTATACTCTTAAAATTTGCTAATTTATTATATTTTTAAAATAGTTTGATTTTCCTGTTTATTTGCTTCTTTTTGTTGTTTTCTTTTTAAATCACTTACCTGATTATTTTAATCACATTGTCGTACATTCTCTACAATACTCTCAATTTTAAACACCTCTCCTCCCTCCCAGGGCACAAATTTTATCCATCCTGTTTATTCATGAACTTTTCTTCCATTTTATGCCCTTTTTTCCTTTGTGAAATCATTTACATCTTTATATGAGTCAGACCAGGTCAGAGGGGATTTATTATTGCTAGTTATATCAAAAAATGCTAAAGAGGAGAGCTAGGAATTTGTGATGAGAGCAGACTGGGACAAGAATATGTTTGAATGAATACAGTTAATCAGAGTAACCAAAAAAAAATAAAAACAGGATATTGATATAAATCATGGACTTTACATGCAATTTATTTTCTTCAGCGTAAATATTTTTTTAACAACAGTAGTAAAAAGTGCTTTCTTGAGTAGGAGTTGTCAGACTTTTTCTATAAAGAGCCAAATAGTAAATATTTTAAATTTTGTCACCGTCATATGGTCTCTGTTGTAACTACCCAAGTCTGCCATTGTAGTGCAAGAGCAGCCATAGATAATACATAAATAAATGAGCATGGCTGTGTTCCAATAAAACTGTATTTACAAAAGTAGCTGGTGGGCTGAATTTGGCCAATGGCCATCATTGATTTAGAGCATTCTGCAAGTAACTTTTTTTGTTTGTTTATTTGTTTAATTTTTATTTTATATTGGAGTATAGTTGATTAACAATGTTGTGTTATACAAATAACTTTTATACATTGAAAATATAGCCGGATGTTACCTTCCTTTTCCCTTAAATGGGATTGCTTTATGAAAACTTTTGTGTTTAATTTATTTCTTTAATATTTAATATTCTAAGTATTAGAATAAATATTAGAATATTTAGCATTCTAAAATATTTCGAAACATTTGGTAGATTGCATTTCTTTCCTCCAATAGGAGGACATTGTTGATGTTTTATCAATGTCAATTGATATGTCCTTTATCTTTTAAAAAGTCTCAGTGTACATTTTAATTGTGGTTTAAAACTAGTATTGTTGAGATTGGGCTAACAATAGCTTTAAAGTTCCCTTGTGCCCCTCCTTGATGCCATCTCCTTCTCTCCCCAGAAGTAACCAGTATTCTGAATTTTTAATGTATTATTCCCTTGCTTTTTGTTATAATTTTGCCACATATTATATGTGCCCCAGTATACAGTTAGGTTTTACCCATTTTTATGTAAATGCAGTAGTACCATGTATATTCTTCAGAGATGTGTTTTATCATTGAGCAGTAAGTTTATGAAATTGAGATTGCATGAGGAAATAATTCATTTAGTTTCGTTGGCGTATGGTATTAGAGTAGATGGACATAATACAACATTTTCTTTATACTATGAATATGATGACTGAAAATTAATTGAAATGTTTCACATATACAGAAAAGTCCACAAATTCCAAGTGTACAGCTCAATGAATTATCACAAAGCAAACATTACAAACCATTTCAAGAAAAGAACATGAACAACACCCAGAAACCACCCGTAAGGTCCCTCCCTGTCCTCCCCAAAGGTAACCACCACCCTCATTTCTAATCTAGAGATTAGAAGTGTTTTTGAACTTGATAGAAATGAAACTATACTGAATATATTCTTTTGAATTTGGCTTGTTTCCCTCAACATTATATGTATAAGATTCATCGCTGTTACATGTAGCTGTAGTTTGTTCATTTTCATTGCTGTATAGTATTTTCTTATATGATATGCACAATTTACTTATCCATTTTATGGTTGATGAAAAATGTGGATTGTTTCCAGTTTTCAACTATTACAAATAATGCTACTGTAAACACTGTTGTACATATACATATGTGTGCATTTCTGTTGGGTGCATATCTAAGAATGGAATTGCTTTGTCATGGGGTGGGTATACCACATCTTATTTATCCATTCTCCTTTTGATAGATGACTATGTTGAGCTGCTGTAAACCTTTCTCTATTTGTGTTCTTTTGCAAAACTGGCTGTAATAGGCATTCAGTAGAATAGATACACAGGAATGAAATTGCTGTGTCAGAGCATATGTGTATCTTCAGTTTTGCCAGATATTGTTTATGGGCCATTTTGATGTTTTAAATTTAATTTTTTCTGCTTATTCTTTAGTGTGGAGATGTACTTTCCTCAGAATGACTCTTGGATTGGTTTGGCACCCCTAAACATTCCTCGGTATGAATTTGGAATATGCGTTTTAGACCAAAAAGTATATGTTATAGGTGGTATTGAAACTAACGTGCGTCCAGGCATCACTATCAGAAAACATGAAAATTCAGTCGAATGCTGGAATCCTGATACAAATACCTGGACTTCTCTTGAGAGAATGAATGAGAGCCGAAGTACCCTTGGAGTAGTGGTACTTGCAGGAGAACTTTATGCTTTAGGTGGTTATGATGGACAATCTTATTTACAATCTGTAGAGAAGTATATTCCCAAAGTAAGAAAGTGGCAACCTGTGGCACCAATGACTACAACAAGAAGTTGTTTTGCCGCAGCTGTGTTGGATGGAATGATATATGCCATTGGTGGGTATGGTCCTGCCCACATGAACAGGTATTTAACTTAATCAAGTTGTATATGCTTGTAGATTTTTAAAAGTATCATTAACAATGATTTCTGAATTTTAAACAATTTGTGTATATGAATGAACTTCCCTTTTTAATTTTTAAAGTAATATTGGTAGACATCTGGGAAACTTAACCTGCTCCATAGTATAATTGTAATTGTTTTACATGGAGATTTAATACAAACCTAAAAATCAAATCACTTTTATTAAATTTTACATTCATTCATTCAATATAAATGGACTAGATTTTAGAATTCAGAAATCTGAAAATAAGATGAAGTTAGATAACTTTAGATTTGGGGTGGTGTGTTTATGTATAAATGTGTGTGTATGTGTGTGTATGGATGGATTATCTGTTACTATGTTGTTTAATAGAATAAAAAAGTGGAAAATGTAATTTCTATATGCTTACAAAATATAGCACATCATAAACTTTAAGCCTTATTTAAATATTCCGTTCTGGATTCTTATTCTGTAATCATACATGTATCATTATGTATCTGAGCTGTGCTGAAATTTAAATGTGAGATTTCTGTATTTTATAGTATTCTCTGAATAAAGGAGAAATATATATATAAGAAAAACAAAAGCATAAAGTGCTTATATGGAAAATTAATCATAATTCTGAACCTTTGTTGAAAGTCGATCTTCCAAAGATTTTATCTCTAATAGTATTTTATCTCTAATAGTGGTATGTGTTTTATTTATTGTGAGCATTTTAATAAAAGAGAGTATGTGGTGGTTTGTTAACAGGCTGAGGAAGTAATGACACAACCACATTTCATCTATAAATTTTTATTTCTGTGTAGGCTAAAGTTTTCTCCCTTTTTATTGCTCCTTTAGTTGAAGGAAAAGTATTTGGGACCCAGACATGCATTTCTATTTTTTGAAAAGCTGCTAACAGAAATTTCTAAGATAAAAGGTTAAGTACTTTAATTTTGAGATAATGCTTTTGAAGTTGGAGTTCTTGTTACAGTTTTTCACAGGATTTTTCTTGTCTAGTGATTTTGCTCCAACGGTTTTCATCCTGGTGTCCTTTCAGAAATAGTTGTAGTTTAGTCTTCTAGTCTAGTCTAGTCCCCATTCTGAACTTACTCTCAAATGCTTTAGGCTTTCTTGAGAAGTTAGGTTAGGACCAGAACAAGCTCAACCAACTTGCTTTTGCACCCCTTCAGGGAAAGTGTAGGCTTAAAGGCCTTCTGGGATTTTCCAGGAAAGCTTATTTGGAAATTCTGATTTGATTTGAATTTCCATAATGCAACTTGGAAATGCCAAGAATTCTCTGGCATACAGACTTTATTTAAATCTGTGAATTCTCATAAATTACTCTGATTATTATAATCATTACAATAATCATTATGATTAGCCAGTTTGTGTTATGAAGTATGTAGTGTTTGCTTTACAGTTAGTCACCATGAATTCACCTATAAGAAAAAAATTCCTCTTCTTTCCTTCTCTTCATCTTCCCTTTTCCTTAGCTGTGTGGAAAATCCTTAGTATCTTTAGGAGCCATCTATATTCAGTTTGTGATTTTCAGAGTCCTTTCACATGCATACTCATTGGACTTTATTCTTACATGAATCCTTGAGGTTATATTATTCCCATGTTTACAGGAAATGACTTATCCAGGAGGCACAAATCCAAAGTGATAGGTCTAGGTATGTAATATTAGTACTTGAACCCAGATTTTCTGACTTCAAATGCTCCATGCTTTTAATACACCTTGCTGCTTGTACAATATAATAGAGTAGGGTACGGCTATTATTGCACCAGTCTACAAGGTAAGCTTTTATCCCTGTGATTTTATCAGCAAAATCTGAACATTTGGGACAAACTACACTTGTTTTATATCTGTCCGTTTGCACTTTTAAAACTCTGGTGGGTTTTAGTTGCTTTAGTAGGAAGAATGACACAAAGGATATGTGAATTAATTCTTTCTTTTGTGAATATTTGCAGTGTGGAGCGTTATGATCCAAGTAAGGACTCCTGGGAGATGGTTGCATCTATGGCAGATAAAAGGATTCACTTTGGTGTGGGTGTCATGCTAGGCTTTATTTTTGTGGTGGGTGGACATAATGGTGTTTCACATTTGTCAAGCATTGAAAGATATGACCCTCATCAAAATCAGTGGACTGTGTGTAGACCAATGAAAGAACCCAGAACAGGTAATAATAACATACCAATTTCTAAACATATAGGACAATATTTTTTATAGTGATGTTCTTGAAATAGTAGTTTCTCAGGATATAACAGTAAGAGTATTATTACTTGTCCAGAAAAAACTTTTTTTGTGATAAACTTGACTGACAACTTGGTTAGACAAAACTATATAGGTTTTTTACTGTGATTTTAATATGCCAATGTGCATATTGTTATTTTTTAAATTTCTACAACACATCTTGAGAAATGCTGATAATAGAAAGTATCTTATAGAAGCTCTTTGTGTCCATGTAACAAATGTAATTGTTTTATATGTTACACACACACGTGCACACACACCCAGGATCCTAGGGTGGTTCTATTTTGGTTTTTATTGTACATCAGCAGTCTGTATGTTACTTTCAAATGTTCTCTCCTCCTAAAGGGGTATAGTTATAGTTGATCTAGAAAGAGTTGGGTTTCAGGTTTCATGAAAAAAACAAATACACCTTTGAGGAAAAGAAGAAATTATCCTTAAACCCAAACTCAAATCACATTATTTTAAAAGGAACGTTTTAAGTTACTGGTGGAAATGCTTTAGGAGTATTCCTTGCATTTATGATTAAAGAAACTCCTGAAAAATAAACATACGAAGGAAATTGAAAGGCTTGTTTACTAGAATTAGTTTCTGTGGTACCATTGAGAAGGAAAACCATAAAACAATGAAAATGTAAACTATTTGGGTAGCCTTGTTCTTTTTAGAACTATATATATATAAAGTAAAATTTTTTAAGCATAAATTATATAGTTTATATATATATTTAAAATTTTAACACATTTGAAAACAAAAATTAATGATTTTTGAAAAATATAAATATAAATTGAGAAGAAAGCATATGGGAAGATATATACTATATTCTTAATAATATTTAACTGTGGTGGAGAGAGGCAGAGTAGGATTGAGGAGAGATGAAGGAAGACTTCAGCTCTTATACATATACTAAGGGATTTTTTTCCAGTAAGCATATATTGCTATATTGCTTGTATAATTAATAATAGGTTGTTGAAATGTATTTTAAGAAAACATTTAAATACAAATTTAATTTAGTGCGAAGTCTGCTTCATGGTTAACATATTTTTTTCCCCTATTTTTACCCACCTTTCCTAGGAGTTGGTGCTGCAGTAATTGATAACTACCTTTATGTAGTGGGTGGTCACTCAGGGTCTTCCTATCTGAATACCGTGCAGAAATATGACCCTATCTCAGATACATGGCTGGATTCAGCTGGCATGATATACTGTCGCTGCAATTTTGGATTAACTGCACTTTGACAAGTGTGAACTTGTGGAAATAGCGTAGTGATGAACCTTGTGCTGCATGAAAGGATGCCCAGTTTTCTGAAGCCCAAAAGCTACATTGCTTCCTTTTTAACTTGAAATGGCATGAAGACTCAAAGTTTTGTTGGGTACTTTGAACTGACAAGTATCTTTGGTTGCTCTTGATTATACAGTGAATCGATAATCCAAGAAAAAAAAAAAAAAAAAGGAAAGATCTTGCCAATTGAATTGTGCACTTTTTTTCCCTAATACTGGGATGGAATAGTTTTATGTTCATAAGTGTACATGTGGAGAAAACCTTGCTGCTTTTTAAAAAAAATTTAGCTTTCTTCCCCCTCCTTGTTCTGCACCATTTTTTACCAGGATGAGAGATACTTAGATGCTGGAGTATACTGAGTGACTAGACAGAGTGCTGATACTATCTGTTGGGTATAAATTCATATGCTTCACATTTTAAACAAACAAAGGGCTGCTTTTTTTTTTCTGGTACTTTTAAGGGTTGTAAATTACAAGCCATGCTGAGTCACCTGGATATTCTTACTGCTAAATGGCTTTAGGGCTGGGGATGTAATAAGTTTGCAAGATAAATGCATTTACTGTCATGATTTCGGGTCCTATTTTAAGCAATCAGATACTTACTGTGTATGCCTTTTTTATATGGGCAGGCTAATGCTGGATGAATTTAGTTACCCATCTATGGTATGCTAAGCATGGATAGAAAGAGTTAAGCATATCAGTTTCAATTTTTTTTTAGTAGTCCAGCAGGCTTCCCAGTGTTGATGTAAATATTTGACAAATGTTTAGTACCACCCTTAGTGCACATTGAGTTTTTTCATATATGCTTACAATAATTTTAGTTTTTTTAAGACTTTTGTTTGCTTTTTCAAAGTATTCAGATATAAAAATGGTGCTAACTGTAGGATCTGTAACAAGGCTATACCAATGTTCTTTTGGATGTTAAATATTAGATATGCATGACATATTTTGATAGTATTTTTCATTTTTACCAGCTTGGTTCATTTGTGCTTATTAAAAATGTTAGTGTTTATACTAATATTTACATCCAAAAAACATTCAGATGGCCTGTTATACTTTTCATGGTTCCTGAATAGTGATTTAAAGAAAGATACATTTTATCTTCTTTCTTCTTGTGCTAGATGTTATATGCCCTTCTTAAAAACAGAAATATATGCATTAAATATAAAGCACTAGGCAGTTAAGCATTATTTTGTACATTTCTTAGGTAACTGAATATTTTAAAGTTATTGAGGAAAACTGGAACTTGATGTTTACTTGAGTAATGGTTCTAAATTCAGTTCCACTTTGACTAAAGAAACGATCTTTTAAAGCAAAATTGTTTGCTTTACCCAAGTGACAGCTTATTTAAAAGAACTGGTTAATTCATTTTGTTTTGCATGTTTTAGTAAATGTCTCTTAATCTTGAATACATTACTTTGCATTTTATTAGGTTGTTGGTACTTGTATTTTTGGTACTGTAGTTATTTTGTTTTCCTTCCCCTGATTTTTTCTTTCTCTTTTCTTTTTTTTAACTTCCCACTATCTCTTTATAGTCTCTACAAAACTATATTTGTTTCCTAAGAAAAAGTTCATATTGCATTCTTAAGTGCCATAATGTTCAGAACTATTGTTAAGAAGCCATTTGTAATTATAAAACATAGGTTCATTTCTTAGCATATATGTTATTTCTTGAAAACTATTTATAGCCAGGCAATTTTCAGTTTTCCTTGTTCTTCCATAAACTGCCAGTTGTAGACTTAAATATATACTGCAAAACTGTGTGAACTCATCTTTAATCATATAAGTAGTTTCATGCTTTATGAATATTTGCACAGATTATAAAACCTTGCAAGTGATTTTTAGTCTCTTTCTAATTAAGAACTCAACTGGAGCTACTAATAATATTGACAGGCTGAATATTTTCTATGTTGCTTGTTTGAATAACTTAATGATATATAGCAATAACTTTATAATTGATTTGAATAAATCTGTTGAATAGAAACAAGGTGCACTATTGTGATTGGCCTAGACTTTATTTAAAGAAAGCAATTTAAAATAGATTCCATTACATACATAATTTTAAATCCCCATCTCAATCTTCTTTCTGTTTATATCAGAAAGAATTGTTATTCTTGATAACATTAACAATGTTAATTATTAAATACATCCTATTACACTGTTTTTAAGCCCGTCTCCCCAGAAGATAAGGGAATTTGAAAGACTATAGAAATTTATTTTAATTGTAAACAGATCTATATATACATTTTATTTTCACAGTGTTTTCCTCACATATCATCCCCACTATCAAATTAGTATAAAATATATAATCGTTTGGTAAATTAGACCAAAGACATAAGTTGATCATTGTTTTGGAAGAATCTAAATTTCATCTCAGTGAAGACTAAATGTGAAACATTTTGGGCGGTAGTAAGAGCAATATACTAGAGAACAAATTATGAAACCCTGTGAAAGGAAGAGAAAAAAAACCCCCAAATTTAGAAATATTTATTTTAGGTTTGCTAAACCTACTTAATTGTACATAAGAACCAGAGGTATTATGACCTGACAGCTGGTAACTTTACAATAGAGCCTTCTCGTTCAGCTTGTGAGAATTTTCATCATGAGTACTTTGCTGACAAATTGTGAATTTAAAGCCACATTTCTAGTGTTAAAAAGGTTCGAAATGTTTGATTATAAATTCCCAGGGTTAAAGATTTTAGAAATAATTTTATATACTCAGGCAAGGAGGAGAAAGCTATTTAAGATTGCCCAGAACTATTTTGGAAAAAAGTAACAGTGGGAAATAGAAACTAATTTAATCATACAGAAGATAATTGCCTTCTATAATTATGTTATGAAGACTTAATCTGTTAGAAATGTTTGGCTATTTAATATTTGTTAAATATAGTAATAGAACTCAAGTGATTTTTAATGTAACCCAAAGGATAGTTATGTAAGTTCCATATATTATTGCTAATACTGTTTTAAACATGAATGAATATTACATTTTAGGATGTGGTATCAAAGTAATAGGAGAATGGCATTAGGTTTTTGTTTTTGTTTTTTGCGGTACGTGGGCCTCTCACTGCTGTGGCCTCTCCCGTTGCGGAGAACAGGCTCCGGACGCGCAGGCCCAGCGGCCACGGCCCACGGGCCCAGCCGCTCCGTGGCACACGGGATCCTCCCACACCGGGGCACGAACCCGCGCCCCCGCATCGGCAGGCGGACTCCCAACCACTGCGCCACCAGGGAAGCCCTGGCATTAGGTTTTGAAAAATTATTTTGATAACTTGACAGATACGGAGGGTCTACTATATGAGATACTGTGCTAGATGCTATGGGGGCTAGAAATATAAATAAGATATAGCCTTTTCACCCAAAGAGTAAAATATAGTAAGGGAGACCTGTACCCAAATAACTATTATGGTAAAGTGTGAAGCTAATTCCTTATTTCCGACATCATGAAAAGTGATTGGAGATCCAATTTATGTATAAACATTTGTGTCCTCTGGTGTCCAATTAGGTTTTATTGGCATGAAAGAGAATTATTTGAAAGCTAATATTTATAGAACTCCAACTTTCCTAAAATTGGATAATATATTTTCTAGTAGAAAAACAGAATTATAGAAACTTAAAATAATATTATGTTATCAAGGCTCTGGCTAACATTGAAGGAAATATATGTAAATATAATGCTGTTTGTTTTCAGTTTTGGTGTTTGATTTCTGGTATTGTCACCGAAGTGCTCATTTTCAGGAAAATCAGATTCTACAATAAATACACTGCTTAAAGTTCAATAAACTTGTGATAACCTCTATAACCTCTGTAGTTTGAAAGTTAATAACTTATAAAGATGTCACACGTCAAGTTAACATCCAGTTCTACTTCTTAACCTTTTTTTTTCCTTTGTAAGACAGCACTTTAGTTAGACATGATTTAATTAGATACAATTATTCTGTGGCTGGATGTTTATTAGATTTTCACTTACAGTATATTGATTCAGTATTGATTCACATTTGAAGAGTGAGGAATACAATAAGTTTTAAATATTACAGGTTTACAGGTTTTCTTACTGGTGTGAATATGGAGTCAAAAATCCAGTTTACATCTCTGCAGAGAGAAAAATTGTTATCCACATCTTTTATTTTATACATATTTAACTAGAGATAATTTATTGTTAATTTTGTCAAGTTATCATGTGTTAAGTCCCATTTATTTTGCCGCTCCGTGGCACACGGGATCCTCCCACACCGGGGCACGAACCCGCGCCCCCGCATCGGCAGGCGGACTCCCAACCACTGCGCCACCAGGGAAGCCCTGGCATTAGGTTTTGAAAAATTATTTTGATAACTTGACAGATACGGAGGGTCTACTATATGAGATACTGTGCTAGATGCTATGGGGGCTAGAAATATAAATAAGATATAGCCTTTTCACCCAAAGAGTAAAATATAGTAAGGGAGACCTGTACCCAAATAACTATTATGGTAAAGTGTGAAGCTAATTCCTTATTTCCGACATCATGAAAAGTGATTGGAGATCCAATTTATGTATAAACATTTGTGTCCTCTGGTGTCCAATTAGGTTTTATTGGCATGAAAGAGAATTATTTGAAAGCTAATATTTATAGAACTCCAACTTTCCTAAAATTGGATAATATATTTTCTAGTAGAAAAACAGAATTATAGAAACTTAAAATAATATTATGTTATCAAGGCTCTGGCTAACATTGAAGGAAATATATGTAAATATAATGCTGTTTGTTTTCAGTTTTGGTGTTTGATTTCTGGTATTGTCACCGAAGTGCTCATTTTCAGGAAAATCAGATTCTACAATAAATACACTGCTTAAAGTTCAATAAACTTGTGATAACCTCTATAACCTCTGTAGTTTGAAAGTTAATAACTTATAAAGATGTCACACGTCAAGTTAACATCCAGTTCTACTTCTTAACCTTTTTTTTTCCTTTGTAAGACAGCACTTTAGTTAGACATGATTTAATTAGATACAATTATTCTGTGGCTGGATGTTTATTAGATTTTCACTTACAGTATATTGATTCAGTATTGATTCACATTTGAAGAGTGAGGAATACAATAAGTTTTAAATATTACAGGTTTACAGGTTTTCTTACTGGTGTGAATATGGAGTCAAAAATCCAGTTTACATCT